CTGGTGACAGCTGAAAACTAAAGTTAAATGAGATAATGCTGCACAAACTAAGCCCTTAGATGCATTTCATGAAGACTTGCTCCTAGAAGTACTTCGGTCCATTGCACAGAAGGAAATTTCTTTTCGAAACGGTTTAAAAAAATCCAGTTTTTACAAGTTTTGTGTTGTAGCTGAAGCACAGCACTTTTCTTGGGTGTAGTGTGTGACTTTTCTTAGTTAAAATGTCGTATTTGTCTGAATCTCTGTCAGAGTGACTGATGCCATCTCACTTCTGTGGAGCAAATTGTCCATGCTCCTCTGACACGTCTGGCCTATTTGAGCATTTCTCAATGTTCTTTAATCTTAAAAATGTCTTTACCCTCCTACCCAGAGGATTTGATGACCTGATAGAGCAGAAGAGGAGGAGAGGTTTTGGTGTGAAAGCTCTTTAATCCTCTAGCATGTAAATGTTGCAGTCACTTTGATGTGACCTTGGAATCTTGTGCCTTTTCTTTTCCCCGTCTCGACCAAACCTTGGGGTTGAACGCGTATTTAGGTTTCAGATGTGACAAGTTGGGATGCTGGTTTCATCTTTACTGGTCATTCAGGTTCAGTCTGGTCTCTTGTGAAAGTGTCACAAGCTGTTGTTTGGCTTTCCACACTACATTGTCCCTCTGCTGTTATTTAGCTCATGAGATTACTGAGCCTACTTGAGCAGGATTAATGGAGGAGTCGAAGGAACTCTTTGTACAGTGAGAGGAGGAAATGAACCAAGGGTGGTGCACTTGTCATGGATCTGACATTTCGATTACTGTGTGTGTGTGTGTGTGTGTGTGTGTGTGTGTGTGTGTGTGTGTGTGTGTTTAACCTCACAGTGTGCTGGTTTGTAATTTCAATACCCAGATTAAACTGAACTTTGCAGCTAAGGGCTTTTATAGGGTCTGTGAGCTATGTGAACGCATGCATTATATCTATTTCTCTGGGTTTCATCTGGCATTAACCTGAGTGATTGTTATGAAGAGCCTGTCACTACCTTCATCATTTGTGTTATGGTTTAATCTGTGCATGGTGTTTTAAATACATCATTATAAACATCTGTAAGACAGAGGCACTAATGCATTGTTGTTTGAGCAGAAACACTATCAAAGTGTTCAGTTAGTTTAGCATCAGGAGAGTGCTAAACCACAAGAGTTGCATATGAAATGGTGATTCTGATCTACAATTTGAATGATGCCTCCTGTTTTTGCGGGAGTATTTTTATATTCAGCCCCGGTTTAAGATGCATCTGTGGGTTAATTAATATGGACGTGGCTTTTCTGGCTTTTTCCATTGGTCTCTAAGTCAATTACAGGGAGACAAAAACACTAGACCCAAGCTTTGTTATTAAATTACATCAAACATGCTCCCCAGAGAGTATAATTCACAGGGTACTAAAAGGCTTGAGTGAAGTACAACATGAACAAATTAGTTTGTTTTGTACTTGTCTTGTAACGGGACAGCTAGAGGAAAATAAAAAAGAGATTATAAAGCGGTTGTGTATTGTCCTTCATGCAGGTTTAATGTGCTTAACTTGGGTTTTAGTTTTTACTCCTGTTGAATCATATTGTGAAAAAAATATAATAATTTATAGTCAGTGTAGCTACACTTGTTTGTTTGTTTGTTTGTTTTGTTTTTTGTTTTACCAAAGAGTCAGGGTCTCAATTCAGATGTAAAACTAACCAAGTTGTTCTCTCGATGCATCATTTTGTCCATTTAGCCTGCTACTTTTTGTGCACAGAAGAACTGAAGAAAACGGATGGATTTTTCTGGATTTGGGGGGGTTGAGGAGGAGGGAAGAGAGACTCTTTGATTCGGAAAAAGTCCTCTGACCATTGATCTCTGGTGACCAAAGACAAAAAGAGTGGATTAGGAATTTAGGTTCCTATTCTTTCCACACATCCAATAATTCAGTAATGTTTTTTATTATTATTATTATTATTATTATTATTATTATTATTATTATTATTATTATTATCATTATTATTATCATTATTATTATCATCACACAATAAAATCTGACTGGACTGACAAGACTACTGAAAACACACAAACCAGAGTAATGAAAGCAAAACTGGAAAAAATGTGACTTTTGAGAGATGAACGCTTGCAAAGATGCATCAAAACATCAGAGCCATGCACAAACTTATGAGATGAACCTTTTTTGGATCGTTTTGTTGCAATTCACCCAGTGCTCAATGCAGTGAATACTGTGATACTCCATAGTCTGACACAGTTTGTGAGTTGAACTTTCTAAAATGGTTGCATTGTCATTGTTTGTCGTGCAGCTCTGAAGAATCTTTAGATAAGAGCAGAAAAGCGGTACACACCACAGATATTTGCTGACTTAGTGGTGACGCTCATTTTGGCGAGAAACAGCTAGATTTTGTAGATATACAGACGACCGTGTATCTAACAGCAGCTCCAATGTGGGAACAGTTAGTCGCCATGTCAAGAAATAACCTGGCACACAAAACACTACAAATTTTGTTGGTAACTGTAATTTAGCTTTTTTTTTTTTTTTTATGCTATTATGCAGGCCAACTCATGACAATGCCTGCCTCTGTTGTTATTGACCCATAACATATAAAAAATGTAAAACCCTATCATTTCAGGTGGGGATTATCTCTGACTTTCAAATTGCACTGCCCTCGTTTCTCCTCCAGAAGCAGCAGATTGATAAGGGGCCACACTAGATTACTAACCTTTTTTTTTCCACGTGAGCCATGTGGCTTAAATGTTATCATCAAGATACAGCGTTTCTGAGAGCAACCAGGGGTAGGCAGAGACATTTATCCTCTCAGTGGTTGCTGATTCGTGGACTACTGAGCTATCATCTCCTGGAAGGTGATTTCACTAACTGAATTTCCTCTCTGGGGTTTCCTGTGGTGAAAGCAATTGTGATGTTGCTATGTGAAAGCAACACTTAGTTTCTAAGGAAACGCAAAAGAAATAGTGCATAGGCCTCATTTGCAACACCACAGGCAAATTTTGTAGTCACGTAGTGGTGGCTGCAGTCCTCTTCTTTCTTTCTTTTTTTTTTAGTGCTTTAAGCTAAACTCTTTGTTAGGTATATAGTAAACACTTCCTAATGAGATACAACAACTTCCTCTATATGTGTGTGTGTGTGTGTGTGTGTGTGTGTGTGTGTGTGTGTGTGTTTGAGTTGACAATTTATTTAAAAAAAAAAAAACTTCTCACATTTGGAAGTCTTGCATTCAGACACAACAAAGAAAATTTGTCAGCCACCTGCCAAAATCTCAGAAAATAGCAGAAGGAATAGGTTAAAACCTGTCATGATCCAGTGCCTCATGACTACATCTGGGTCTTTGTTCATTTCCGCGCTGGTCTGACTGTCAACCACAAAGATGTTTCACTTGTATTCTTCAGAACAACAGCCAAATGTTCCCATCACAACTTGAAAGGCTCTTTCTGTTTTGTTTCACTCCTTGTCTAGCTTAAATGAGCCTGTTTATACCGCATTAAAACGGAGAAGAGGGTATAGGTAGTAAACCCCACCTAGCAAATCTGTGAGCCATTTCCTTTATGCGAAGAATAAACTGTGAAGTGAATGAGGCTCATGTGTTGACTCCCTTCCTATGTGGGTGGTCAAGGCAGGAAGCAGGCCTGATGCATTTGCTCTCAGCACAAGCAAACACATACACAGCTTAGTCACAGTTTCCATGTTTTTTTGTGTTTTTTTTGTTTGTTTTGTTTTGTTTTTGTTAAGTGGCTGCTTTTGGCATGCAAACAACATCGTCCCGGTAGCAGAAATATTTTTAATGCCCCAAGAGAAGGAAGCAGAATTAGCAGGGATGTTTTCATTTCATTTCGATGGTAATTCGAAACTGCATTTCTTGTGCGCAGCAGTAGTTAAACCTAAACTCGGATCTGGTTTGTCGCAGTACAGCTCTCCACACTCAGGTCTAATAATACCGCAGATCACAGGACAGACTGTCGGGGGGATATTTGTCTCCTAAATTGAGCTTTGAGTCTTCATTATCTCCCTGCAGTCTGAGTCATAGTGCCAGACTTCCACCCCGCTGACAATGCTCTAATGAGGATTTTTAGATCAAGCTTCAAGCTGCCCACCATAAGACTGGGACAGAACCACTGTTTTCCATTGTCAGGTGTGTATGTTATGCTGCGAGTTTGATAGGGCTGAGCCATGTGAGCATAACGAACACAGTCGCTGTGTGCTGCCACCAATAGCATTGTGGTTTTTAACTGACTTGATCTTTCATGACAGCTGAATTGCTTCTGTGTTTGCCATCATGCTCCACAGTGTACCTACTGGATAGGGCCGCTGAAAACGAAGAGAATACTGTGGAAGATTTGCTGTCGTTCTATTTTGATACGTTTTGAAATTGAATATCTTCGAGTAGCTGCCCAGAAAAAGTAGGACAATTGAAGGTGTCACTTTTAGGCTCTTAGAACTTGAGCCTTTTGTACTATTTTCAGACCTTTTATGGGCTAAATATTAAACCAGTTTCCATCCATCTGTTTTCTTAACTGCTTCTCCAAGTAGGCTGGAGTTCATCCCAGCTGTCATATGGTGAGTGGTGGGGCCACTACTCATTTGATAAACAAACGAGTAGAGTACAGGGAATCAAGTGCCCTCGTTAGGTGTTGTTTGTACTGTATTCTGATTTTCCTAAATCTTGCTCCTCTGTGAGAACACCCTCCATCTTACAAAGACTAAAACTAACTGTGTAGCTACTTAAAAATAAGTGAAATCTAAAGATTTTTAATGAATACAAACTCAGATGAGCAAATTAAATTAATTAAAACTGCTTGATGCTTTCTCATACTATATGTCTGTTTACCATAAATGTTTAACACCACCCAGAACATATTAACAAGACTTTGAGGGGAAAAAAAAGCATTTAGGTTACTTTAGATATTTTTTCCCAGTATAAAAATATATCCTAGAGTACTGGATGTGTAGAAATCAAACATTAAACTTTATCAATGTTTCTTTGCAGGAATCCTCTTCTCTACACTGGTGTTCGGACCTGCCTGCGGCTTCATCCTTGGATCGCTGTGCACTAAATTCTATGTGGACGCCATCTTCATTGACACCAGTGAGTTGAATGTGTCCCTACTCTACGATCCTCTCGTGTGTTCTTTTTTTGGCATGTGCAGTTTATTGACCGACACCATGCCTCCCCGCAGGTAAACTGAACATCACTCCAGAAGACCCGCGGTGGATCGGGGCCTGGTGGGCAGGCTTCCTCCTGTGTGGTGCCTTACTCTTCTGCTCTGCTGTCTTGATGTTTGGCTTCCCTCAGTCGCTGCCAGCAAGGGAGCAGGAGGAGGGAGCAGATAGCGAGCAGGTTATGCTTCCTCCCTCTCTGAGCTCAGACTGTGAGACTCCTAAGCCCAGCAACGGAGTCGTAGTTAACCATGAGCCTGCCAATAGCCCCACCTGCTGTCAGCAACTCAGGGGTGAGCATGCAGCATCCAGCGTGGTACTGCAGTTTGGTGTTGTTTTTTTTAATGCAAGCATGTATGGAACAAAAACACACAACATTTTATATTTTTATTTGTTGTATTTGCCAAATGCTATGAAGTACTGACAAAACAGAAGTTACAGTCCTTTTTAAATAAAACCTGTTAGTGTAAATGGTACTAGATTAGTTATAATATCATCATTTGTAGTATTATGTGTTGTTAAAGATAGCCTATGATTTTTTTTTTTCTTATTTTTTACTGTTATAGTGACGAGTGCTCATGTTAAACATGGTCAGATGGTGAGGTCAACATATACGTATATAATAAACCAAAAGCTCAGTTTCAGACTGTGCTAAATGCTCTGTTTCAGACATCTATCATTAGTGTGGTCATCTCAGCTCATGTTCAAACTTGCTGTTTTCAAGGGGCAGCCGATCAGAATAAAGCTGACTCAAAGAAAAGGAGGCTTGTATGAGACAAAGGATAAACTTAGGAGCTGCTTCAAGGCCCACTATATAACAATATAAGTGGGCCTTGAAGCCAATATAAGAATTGAACTGTAAATCTACTCTAGCTACTGGAGTCTAGACTAGGTCCCCACATCGCACCATTGCAAGTTGTACTTGTATATATATGTAAGAGTATGCAACTTTTAAAAGTAAAATGAACTACTAGAAGAACTTGAACACTAGTTTTGGATTAGTAGAGTTGGCTCAAAAGTGTCCTTTATTACACAGCTGCAGAAATTGTAAAGCTTTAGGAAGTGACTGGATCATAATTGGTGTTTCATTTCTAAACACATGTAATTAGTTAGAACAGGTGCTGAAATAACAAAAAAGACATCAAGAGAATTTTGTGTGCACAAGGGTTATATCGAACACAAAGGGCTATTCGATATAACGATGTATATCGGATGACGATCGTTTCATTTTACGCTATCGTTTGTTTTGTGGTGTCGCAAAATAAACTGTTTATGGTAATATTTTTTCAGCGTTTTGATGGTCACTGTAGTGGCTATATTAATTTCTTAAAGTTCTCTCTTATATTTAATATAACCACACTACGGACGGACAACCGCCTGTTGTTATGCAACAACGACGGTAAAACCATCGCGTGTCCGCTTGTTTATTTTCCACATACACCTTTCACAATAAAGCTCACGATCCTGTTGAGACCTTTCAAAATAAACAGAATCCCGTGAAAGAGTATGCAGAGTGTTTACGGATGAGAAGCAAAAAAAAGAGCCGTCAGGTGCTAAAAAATAAACCTTAGACTCAAACGTTAGAACAGGCTTTTCCCCGCAGCACGCTGTGTAATAAATATCGGTTAAAACACTCGACTGCAGGTACACAACGCCCAGCTGGAAACACTTCACACAAGCTGCCCGAGATTCACAGAACTTTCAGAAAATGTAAAATTTTTGTGATTTATATCGTTATCGGGACGATAGATGTCTTATATCGGGATATGAGATTTTGGTCATATCGCACAGCCCTACACTCAATGCTTATCTTTCCTCTTTCCTTTTATGTCCAGTGATCCCCACGGTGACCAAGCAACTCCTGTCGAACCCTGTGTTCACCTGCATCGTCCTGGCGGCCTGTATGGAGATCGCCGTCGTAGCCGGCTTTGCAGCCTTTCTGGGGAAATATCTTGAGCAGCAGTTCAACCTCACCACCACCTCTGCAAATCAGTTGTTAGGTTTGTATTCTGTGCAAAAAGTCACACGTATGCACACTTTTTTTTTCTTCTGCAGAGGAGTATAATAAACAGATTTGGGCCTATCTTGTGTTTAAGGTATGACAGCTATTCCATGTGCGTGTCTGGGGATCTTCATGGGTGGTCTGCTGGTGAAGAAGCTGAATCTATCAGCGCTGGGAGCAATCCGAATGGCCATGCTGGTCAACCTGCTGTCCACCGCCTGCTACGTCTCCTTTCTGTTCCTTGGTTGTGATACGGGTCCCGTCGCAGGAGTGACCATCCCGTATGGCAACATGTAAGAAAAAATATTTAATATTATCACTTGTTACATCCTCTGCTTAAAAGCATCAACAAAAAGTGGAAACTGACACCGGAGTTTAGGGCTGGGCGATATGACCCAAAATTCATATCTCGATATTTTTTAGCTGGGTGGCGATATAAGATATATATCTCGATATTTTTTTAAAGCCATAAGTTAAGAACAAAAAGAGAGTTCTTAGTCACACTGTGTCCCAGATGTTACATACAGCATAGATTTACATGAAGAAATTACTCAAAAATAAATTATCAGCATTTATTAAATAATCATGCTCCATAA